CCTAACACTGTAGACCATTGTAAGAGTAAAACAATAACCCGTTATAGCTTTATGCCCGCATTGGAACGCAGGAATTTCGTACAAAGTGTATAATAATTTCAGAAACAGTTTATTTTTCACAGGAAAAATGTAGGAAAGGAAAAAAAATATCATATTCCAAAGGGACCTAATTTGTACATAAAATCAGATTAATTGAGAAAGACAAAAAAAGGCATGGCTGCATGAATTTAGTTTCATACCGGCTTAAATCCTTGATGCTTGTTGGGTGTTGGCCTGTTGGGTAGCCAGAGCACTCCAGCGACAGAGCCGGTTCTAGGCTCGTAGCTTGATAGCTGCGGCCTGCAGAGTAGCCGGCCTCCGGGTGACACCGTGACGGTAATCTTCGCTGGATGCGCAAGAGCGAGGCAAGGGCGCCGTGGGCCTGCAGAAGCTAGAAGCCGAGAGGATGGAACGACGCGGACTTGCTGAAATGGAACGACGGAAGATGGAACGACTATCACAATAACAGCTGGAGGTTACGAGAAACAATCGATCTTGCAGTTCCAGGCCTGCCTTAATCGAAGTTGCAGGTTGGGTCGCTGGGCCGTGGGGGTGCAGTCTATTGGACTTTGGGGGTGCATAAAGGGTTAAAATCTGAGTACTATGGCCCCGTTCGCTTGTCTTATAATTCATATTTTTCAGCTAGTTTTTTTAACCGGAACAGTATTTTTCTCTCACAATAATTCAGCGAAACGAATGGGGCCTATAACTTGAAAAAAGAAAAATCAGGGTGGTGCATCTGCACCCACGGTCAATAACTGGGCTTCGCCCCTGCCTAGCATCTAATAATGGGGTTTCACCTTGTAATGATACTTGTGGTAATACTTTTGTCGCCATTTTGGGGGGTGGGGGGTGGGAATAATGGAATATGCATCTGTTCAGGCGACAACTAACAACATTCAGATTTTTATCCAATGGTCCAAATCTATTACCACAAATCACAATAAATAAATTATTATTTTTTCTATGAAAGAACAAAGACAAAACTGTTCAGGTGCCTGAACTATAGGAGATGTGAAAAATAATACAGTATAGATTATGTAGCTTGCAATTTTCTTTAGAGACGAGCAGGTTTCGTCGGAGAAGTGCCGGTGACCGTATTCCATGCATACTGTCAGCACTATCTTTGCCAAATACGTATGAAATAACAAAACCTCCAGAGAAACTGAGACCAATACATCTTCAGCTGAACACCAGGATTCCAGTTCATGTGTATAGAAACATTTCCCCCAAACTGAATTGGGCAAACCGGCAAAATGAGTGAAAAAACATCCACAGCATCATCTGCTTGGTGGAACCTGGTGTCGCCAGAGAAGAAGCAGAGTAATTATCTGCCAAAATCCCAACACACTTGGAAATGCTATGACCTTTTATTATTAACTAATGCTGCTAATTGGTTGCCTAACACCAGCTTTCGTCCGGTGGCCTCATCATGGCGCTCCATCGCCAGACTGGACGTCAGGCTACGGATCCAGGTAGTATTAGGGGTAGCATTGGAGACCATCTGACCATGCATCCATCTTTCGCACATGTGACGCGCTTTGCCTTTTGTTGCCTGCTTCTTGCTGGTCGTGGTCTCCAAAGGGAGCGTCACACCGACACAACACACAAGAATGTTCATGTGCGATCTGCCCATGTCTCTTGGGGATTGAATTTTGTCAAAGTTTATCTCTCCCAAAAAAAAAAAACATGTTAACAATTAACTGTTCAATATAATGACAAGAGGTGTGACCCATGGGTTTTCTTGCGTTGTTTCTTTTGAGTTTTGCAGGGTTGCCAATCGCAAGACCATGGATCAGCTTTCATGTTCAGAATAGATAGATCAGCACGCTTGCTTGCCTTTCTCAACCTTGCCATCTACTCCAGATGATGGCATGTTGCTTGCTCCCATCCTTGAAAACATGGTCAATTCTGAACCAGCCTTTGTGCCCGCTTGACCGGTCGCATTCACCTTTCACTGCCAATCTGCCAGGGTTTTGTTAAGCTAATGATGCTTGCAGTTGCAGCATGGACACTCCTGAACCCAGCCACCCAGACAGGTTAAAAGGAGAACAAAAACTAGGCGAAAGAATTCAAAAGGGGAGCTTTACTGCCCCTCTGCTCTGTGAAAATTTGACTCACGCTCACCACACCAGCCTGGTTGGTGAGTGAGAGTGACTGAGTGGCACAATGTTTGCAAATTTTCCAGGGTGTAGTTAGCTCCCCACTGTTCACAATCATAACAAGATACATCCCTTGATTTGCCTTCGCATGAAAATGTGTTTTGGGCAGTTCTTTTTTTTTTGCCTGGTGCAAGCGGTAGAGTCTTACCGGAAGGTTCTGGGTTCGAGTCGTGTTCTTCTCGCATTGCACAGACGAGGGTAAGGCTTGCCACTGACACCCCGCACAGAGCGGGAGCTCTCTGCACTGGGTACGTCCTTTTTTCAAAAAAGAAAGAAAGAGAGAGATAAACAACACATGCAATGCAACGGTTTTGAGTCATGCTTCCTTTTACCAGTTATTTCCATAATTCCAAGAATTGCTTGTGAAAATTAGTGGTCCTTCCATTTCAAAATGTAAGGCATATTATTAGGATAAAAAAGAAGTTAAACATTTCGTAAATCTTGATAGGCAATTAGTTCAATAATGCGCATGCTTATATAGTGCATGAAAGTTCGATTAACATATTCACGTTTCACACGTATCATTTGACATGTATCGAGTCTGTAGCAGTTGGTACTTGGTAGGGCAAACTATACTTTTAGAACCTTCCCCAAACCCAAACATGCAAAAAAAAAAGGAAAAATGAAAAAGAGGGAATACTTTGCAGGACTTGTGGCTATATGAATGCCAAACCTTTATTGCAATTAGGAGCTGCACACTGTGCATTGTCTAACCTGCTTTGCTACAACAGCGATAGCCACAGTGCAGCTCTGTTGCACCAGCCGGTAGATGGTTGCATACTACACTACTTCATATGTCCCAAAATAGAAGTTATTATAGGGTACGTGTTGGTTAACATTTCTGGACTTTGAATAGATTTTTAGAAAATATTAACAATATTTATATCTCTAAATAAGTTTATTATAAATATATATTTAGTGATTTATCTAATGACCTCAATTATGCACCTCAATTATGTATCACATGGAAATATGGTGTGCACGACCCACTCCACTAGCATTAAGATTTTGCTACTTGAGCAGCTGCCACCTGCCAGAAGAACAGCTCGCGAATGGAAACAAAACAACATGGGAAGAACAGGATTCGAAGTGCCCATCCGGCTTCCACTCGCCTTCTCGTCACATGCTGACATGCATGCATGGCAGCGGCAGCACCTGCAGCAGGCAGTTTCTAGTCGACTGTGCCAGCACAGCACCACTTGATGCTAAGCTCATGTGTAGGGCCTTGTTTAGATCACCTCTAAATTCTAAGTTTTTTCACTCTCTTTTTATCACATTAAATTTTAAACACATGTATGGAGTATTAAATGTAGGTAAAAAAAATAACTAATTACACAGTTTGGTTGTAAATCACGAGATGAATCTTTTAAGCCTAGTTAGTCCATGATCGAATAAAGTTTATCAAATATAAATGAAACGTATTACAGTGTCTAGGTTGCAAAAATTTACAATCTAAACAAGGCCTAGGATTATGACAGTGATCCATGACCCAGTAGGCCAGCAGTGATGATGTGTTGTTTATCTTATGAGACAGGCCTGCACTTTGTTTGTCTGCATTCACCAGTTTTTGCAAGAGTCTCAGGCCATGTTTGTTTTTCTTATAATCTGTATTTTCAACTTGTTTATTTAGTCGAAACAGTATTTTTCTCAAAAAAAAAATAGTCAAAATAGTTTTTTGGCTTTTTTTTTCGACGAAACGAACGGCCCCTCGGAGAGTTTGAAGAGTAGATGATCAGCCGATGAGGTCAGGTTCTCAGCTACTAAGTGGCTGTTTGGTTCCTTAGACCACATTTTAGTTCATGTCCCATCGAATATTTGGATATATGCATGGAGTATTAAATATAGACTAAAAAATAACTAATTACACAGATTGTGACTAATTTGCGAGACGAATTTTTTAAGCCTAATTAGTCCATGATTTGATAATGTGATGCTACAGTAAATATGTGCTAATGATAGATTAATTAGACTTAATAGATTCGTCTCGTAAATTAGTCTACTCCTGTGTAATTAATTTTTTAATTAGCTCATATTTAGTCCTCCTAATTAGCATCCGAACGTCTGATGTGACACGGACTAAACTTTAGTCCCTGGATCAAACACAATCTGTGTCCTGAAGTGATGAGTAAGACTGATTCTCTTGACTCCGATTCTTTCCATCAGGAGGCAGGAGAGTTAAACAAAGATATTAAACTTGTTGGTTTTAATCGGGGTTTATCACCAAATTAATGATGTTTTTCTCTCACAACAAACCAAAGATCGGTTGGCTTATCGACTAAAAATCAACCAAATGAACATGCTCGAGATGCTAACAAGCGACACTGCTCATTTGGTTGGTGTTGGTGTTAGTTTGGGCTGGTCGTCTTTTTTTTTAGAGAAAAACATTATTATTACTTTTGGTTTGGGCTATTTGAAACCATCAAACGAACGGGCTGAAGATTTGGAATTCTAATTTAAATCCATCACCATCAACCTGGCCAACCAAACACAACCATTCTTCTTTATTGCTCATGACTCATGAGTGGCTTCCAAGTTCGTCCACCACTGTTCAACCTCTAAAGCAAATCACCAAGAACGAATTCCTCTTTAATCTGCTAATTTTGAGTCAGACTAATGAAATTCCCTCAACACATTTTCTTTTTATACAATTTCCTGCTTGCTTTGCGATCACTACAGTAATCAGTCTATCTAAGAAATAAAACAAAAGGAGACAAGAAATGAAGCGAGGAAAAGAAAAAAAAAATCCAATCTTGTGTGTTGAACCAACCACCAACGTGCAAAGTGCAAACCAAATGCGGATCACGAATGGCTTCCCTGCCTCCCGCCGGCGACCCAAAGCATCGCCGCCCTAGGCACCGACGGCGGCCTCTCTTCTGCAAGAGACGACGCTCCACTGTCCCCGGGGCCACCTGCCTCGACGTCGCAAGGCTCCTCGTCTCTGTGGTGCCTCTTGCAGCCTGAGGCCATCGCCGGCCACCGGAACGACGCCGCGCGTCTCTCGCCGGCTGCCGGTTCCGCCGCGGGGCCAGGGCGGCGACCGTCCTCCTCTCTCCTGGCGACCGACGCCATCCAGATCTTGGACATGGAGAAGCTGTCCCTGCTCAGGCTCGCGGCGCCGTCGCCGCAGCGCCCGTCGGCGTCCGCGGACGCGGCGGCGGCCTCCGTGACGGCCGTCTCCCACGCGCCCGCCTTCTTGGGGCACCCGAGGTCGCACGCCGACAGCGCGTGGCGGCGGCGCGACGACCTGGAGCTCGCGGGCCTCCTCTTCGGGGTCGCCTTGATGGTGACGCGGAGCGCGGCGTGGTCGTCCATGACGTACTCGTAGGATCCCATGGACAGGCACCGCCTCTGCCCGAGACTTCCCCTGCCGCCATTGCTACTACCTGTGCCGTCGGGCGCGAGGTCCCTGGCACTGGCATTGCCGTCGACGCACCTGAGCTTGCCCAGCTTCACCTCCACGATCTCCTCCGCGTCGTCCTTGGGTGACTCGTCGCTGCCTCTATCTCCCGGATCACCGCCGTCCCTGGCGGCCGTCTCGGCGAGGCCATACGAGTGGTGGAGCAGGAGCAAGGACGACGACGACGGGCTGGAGTAGGAGTAGTCGGCCTCGGCGAGGATGCTGCCGCGGCAGAGCGGGCACGTGGAGTGCGAGAGCAGCCAGGCGTCGATGCAGGGCACATGGAACGCGTGGCCGCACGTCGGGAGCAGGCGGAGCTTGTCGTCGTCGGCGAACTCGCAGAGGCAGACGGCGCAGTCGAACGGGTCGCCGTCGTCCTTGGCGGCGGCGCGGGCGCGGCGGCCCACGGCGATGGCGCGGTAGGGGAAGACGGGCAGCGCGTCGATGAAGGCCTGGTCGACGCCCGCGTCATGGAGGTGGAACAGCTGCTGGAGCTGGCCCTGGAACGCCGTGGGGCTGCTGCCGTCGGCCACCGCAGCCGCGGCGTCCCCGACCCGGCGCCGGAGCCGGCGCGCCCGCCGCAGGCGCAGCAGGTTCTGCGCCAGCAGGTTGAGCAGGCCGAAGATGAAGAAGACCATGGCCAGGATCGCGATGAGGAGGAGCACCCCCGGGCTCAGCTTCCGCTCGATGGCGGGAGACCCCGGTGGCGGCGACGGCGGTGCAGGAGAAGCGTCCATTGCTCCCCCACCACACCAACGGTGAGCACCGCCACCCGCGACACCTACGACGACGAAGAGGAAGAGGAACGTGACGTGTTTTGTTGTCTATGGGAGACGCGACATGGCGAGACCACGGCGTGGAGTGTGAGTGGGGCTGGGCGGGGCTTTGGCCTTTGTTTGGGACCTGGGAGAGGATTGGTGACGGACACCGTCACACTGACACCGACGGCGATGCAATGCAACAGAGTGGAAGAGCGGTGATGGTCAGAGGGTTCGTTTGGGTGGGGATCCAAGGATGAGGAGGCCAGTGGAGTTGAAAGTCTGCAATCTGCAACCAAATACTACTGCTACTAGAATGCAGAAAGCCTGCACTGCAGGCTGCCGGTGCCGGCACAAAAACTTTCTGCTTGTCCTAGAAATACTCCCTACTTACGCAAAGAATGTAATTCTCGCTTTCAAGAAATTAAATAATTTAAACTTTGACTAAATTTATATAAAAAGTATAAATATTTATGATACAAAGTAAATACTATTAGATTAGTTATAGAATATATTTTTATAATAATTTAATTTAGAGACATAAATACTAATAATATTTGTTATAAACTTAGTCAAACTTTAGCTTCTTTGATTGACATGCATCTTATAATTGTATTTTTTTTAACGGAGGTAGTACAATAGATTTCTCCATTGGTTCTCGCTTCTCTTGTTCCTGTTCCTAACTCCTCCCAGGGTAGTTCCCAATGTTTGGCACTTTCCATACTTTGTGGGTGCAACATCAACAAATTCGCTCATTATCAAGTTACAACCTAAGATCTATGACTATATTATGTTAACTGTTGGTATTTTGTTTATTCCATGGGTGTCGTTGTTTTATGGTTTTTCCGCTTATCACAGCAGCTCTTTCCACACCTCCGGATATCTGGTGCCAAATCGTCACCCCTTTCCTTATATATTCGATAATCGAGTTTGCTATCTTTGGCCGTGTTTGGTTCGGCTCCGGCTCCTTTACACAGCACTGTGCAACGCTGTAGATCCATGTATCAGCGAAAAAAACGGCTTCGACTCCCGCACAAATGAACCGAAAAAGAGGAGGAGCAGCCGGAGCCACGTTTTTTTTTTTTCTCCCCCGGCTCCTCCACAGGACCTGTACAGTCACGGAGCCGGAGCCTGGGCGAGCTGCACCAAACGCGCTCTTTGTGGCATTGATTGTACAAGTTCGTGAAGAGGGCTGGACGAGTACGGGTACTGTGCGTGCCTGCAGTACTATCTATCTGTAAAGCTGCCTCTGCTCTGAACGGGTAGCAAAGCCAAAGCAATAGGAGAGGGAGAGCGAGCTCTTATTAGGGCGTGTTTAGTTCTGAAAATTTTTAGCTTTTGGCTACTGTAATATTTTCGTTTGTATTTGGTAAAAATTGTTCAAGTATGGACTATTTAGGTTTAAAAGATTCGTCTCACGATTTCTCGGCTAACTGTGTAATTAGTTTTTTTTCGTCTACATTTAGTACTCCATGCATGTGTCGCAAGATTCGATGTAACGGCCTGTGCAAAAAATTTTGGATGACGGGGGAAACTAAACGGGGCCTTAGTAATGAATTATGAGTCGGCCAGCAGAGAGCCAAGAGACACCCATCATGATCGTGGTCGCGCACGAACCAGATTGTGCACTGTTGCTGTACTATCGTCATGGCCCTCCAAACACGGGGCTAATAACATGTCAACAGTGAACGGACACGCTGGCCTTGTCGAAAGCGAAGCTGGGACGACGCAGGATCCAGCACCCACCGCCTGTCATTCTGGCCACGTTTCCTCCTGGATCTGCCGCTGTTCCATCGCCGCCGGCGACGAGTCCTGAACTGTGTTGCTTTTCTTTTCTTTTCTTCCGGCTACCTTACCGCCGCACCCTGGCCGCGACTGGGGCTGGCTAGTGCCTCCGCAGTCACGTGGGCCGGCCGTGTGTGGGGTCGGCTCACGGGCTAGATCACAGTTTGCTCTCCCGGAGAAGTGACGCCGGGCCTCCTCACCCACCGCCTAGTGCCAAGAAACTGGTTGCTTTTCGTTTCACAGGAGGGGAAACTGGAAACTTGCCCAGTTGGCTCGTCTCCTTCTACCTGCCACTGCCCACTGAAGTACTGAACCCTGTGATCTGCTATTGCAGGCTGCTACTCTCGTCTGGCCATCATCCAAACCGGCAGAAGCAGAATCTTCACCTAACCCCGTGAAGCTTCCAAGCCTTTTTTTGCCCCCTCGTCCAGACCATGTGCAGGTTCCGCCCTGATTGGCAATGTCAGTTGACTAGAGCCCAGAATCCATGCAGCCGTTCGTTTGTATTATAATCTGGGCCACCTTTAGTTGGAGGCCGGATTCGGCGCCGCCGGATTCGGCGTTACTGTAGATACACTGTAGCGTTTTGTTTTTATTTGGTAATAATTGTTCAATCGTTGACTAATTAGGCTCAAAACGTTCGTCTCACAAAGTACAACCAAACTGTGTAATTAGTTTTTTATTTCGTTAATATTTAATACTCCATGCATGTACCACAAGTTTAATGTGATGGGGAATCTTCTTTTTGCATAGTGCCAAATTCAGGAAATCTGAGAAACTAAACAGGCCCCTGTATTTTTTAGGGAAGCGAAGGGGACATCACATGAAAACAAACAGACAGAGACAGGATCGTGGTCCACAGGCTCAGGGGCTGACTACCATCACGTTTCCCCCGGTTCGCTATCGCCAAACTGCCAGCAAAGGCACAGGAAAACATCCCCATTGGATATACATAGGCCCGTTTGAATTCCATGTAATTCTAAGAATCCGGATAAAAAGAGATAAAAATAATCAACAGTTTTGGGATTCTAAGAATCTATCTCTCTATACGAGTTAAAAATCCCTTTAAAATTTAGATCATTTGAGTGACATATTGGGATTTTGGAATTTTTTTATCCGGATTATTAGAATCCTATGGATTCAGACGGGCCCATAAACAGAGTCCATGTAGGCAATGATTGGATCCATCCAAACTCCTATAAGATGGTAGGAGATAGGTTCATTCAACTTTTGAGACTGGCTTATGGGGTTGTGGGATGTTTGGATACCATCTGAGCTTCTAGAAGCTAGACTAGATTGTGGAATTTGATAGGATTTAAACAGGCCCACAACTGAGAACCGAGCTTGAGCTCATTGTCCATGGCCAAGGTGTCCAACATTGATGACTAGCAAAAACACACCTAGTCGTACTGGTATGGCCTTGAACAATGACATTTCATTATTTGGTGTTTGCATGCACGGTGTTTTATGATATGTACTAGACAGGGACATGAAAAGATCCAACAGAAATTATTAGCCTAGCTTATCAGCTATGAAACAATATTTTTCTCTCACAACAAATCAGCTTCAGTCAGCTTATTAGCCGGTGCCGTGCAACGCAAAGACGGAGGGATCCGGCAAGCTTTTAGTTTCTGTTGCGTTGCTGTTGTCCTGTTGGGTCTGCAAGGGGAAACCGGTGTCATGATCGCGACCTTTCTGGACACGGTACCTTTTCCGTATAACGCACACAGGGGTCATGTTTTTGTTAATTCAGTTTGTTTATTAGTCCTTGCATTGTGCATATAGTACATCTTTTAGTTTTAAGATTGATGTAAATGTATGGACTGTTGACAATTGTTTATACTATAAGACCAGTTTTAATGCAGATTTTATGTGCATTTATTACATTGACATATGAGTAAAATGTTGATCTAGCAAAGAATTTAAAAGTACATATGACGAGTACCTATAATCGGATACCCTCACCATACGGGGTTAGCTCGTATGTCTGAGTCCACGAATAACTTGACCGCTCGGTGACCTACGAAAGAAGTCGACTGGAACTCAGCATAGACGAGCGTGCCTCCTCCTCTCCAAGGCTGCACACATATCTCCTACAACTAAAAATAATAAAGTGTGGATATTTTTTGGTGTGATATTTGTTTTGGTTCGTCCGTCTGTCCACGTCTGCGATCCCACGACATTTCCCGCATGTTGCGTCCTTTGATGCGATTCTCCTTGATTGAGTATTGTTTGTCATGTGACAGAGGAATCACGGTAAAATAGGAAGTAGAAAATTATTTTGCTATCCATATACACATTGCATGTTTGCATACAACAGCATACATGGCAACGAGCAAAAGAAAAAAGAGAATTAACACATAAGAAAAGAGAATTAAGACAAGAGGAACATCTTTGTATTTCTGAGAACATTGCCAAATCTGTCTACATTTAATTATTTCTCTTCTTTGCATTTGTAAAAGGGACAGCTTTTTCCTCCTTTTATTTGGTTTCACGCTCACGTGTTCCATCGCCCTCGCTTGTTGTTTCTTGCTGAAATTGCCCTTGGGTCTGTTCATTTTGAATCATTTCCCCATATTCTAATTAAATTATAAAATTTTGAATTAGGATACAAGGTAAGACATGCAAACAGATATTTCAAAACTACTGTCGGTGTTTCGAACCGGGGGTCCTCAACCAACTAGTAAAAGTGAACTGCGTGCCCCTAATCCCGGATGGTGATGCAAAGAGACACAAGGTTTATACTGGTTCAGACAATTGGTGCCCTATGCCCAGTCTGAGAGATCGGTCTTGTATTCCTTGCACCGAAGTGCTTGTAGTAGGGGGTTACAAGCTGGGTGAGAGTGGGAGCTAGTCCCAGGTCTCGGTATGGGACGGTGCCAGGTGCTTGAGACGTTGCTCTCAAGCAGCCCGGGAGCGTGGGTGTTACAGGATGTGTCTAGGGCGAGTATGGGAGCGCGGTTCTATCATATGTTCTTCTTTTTTCCCCTGAGCTATCCCTGGCCGCTTCCTTTTATAACCGCAAGGAAGGAGCCAGGAGTACATGAGTAAGCTACACGTGGGGCCTACTGCAGTTTTGTCCTGTAGTAGCATGGCGTTGGGAATAGAGATCGGTACTTGTCTGGCGCGCCGTGCTGGTCAGGTTTGAAGTGGTTGAGGTCGTGTGGGTCCTTGTCGATGTCTAGTCAGTATGA